AGAATTTAAAGTCATACTTTTCTAAACTATAAAGACTGTACACGTGTATTCTGTCAAGTATCCCAAAATATTTGTTGTCTTTTTTTAATGACATGTTTTATTTACACCTACCGTGTCAGATATTCTAAAATAGCCCAGTTCGTTTTCTTGGAAGTAGTAAATTCTGCTTACAGAATGTAGGCCAAGTACCTCAGATAGTCAATGTTGCCTTTGTCGTATATCATATTGGATGTATACGAACCAGATAAATCCTTTCAAAAGGTAGCCTTTCTACCATGTTATCAATCACTTTTATTAACTGAGTCCGTAGTTTGTAGCCAATCAATTATGCCGACAGTTGGGGGTCACATGTGAACCAATCAGTGTTGCTGTTGTAATAGACAAACAGAGCAGGAACTAAATATAACATCATCTGTTTTTTTTTAATTGTCTGCTGTAGAAACTGATTCGCTGAAACACAGGTCTAGAACAAATAAATTGTTGCATAAAAGTTTACTTTTCAAGCCTCAAAAGCTTTTTCCAAAGCGAGGTGTCAACTTCTATGGCAGGTATCCGGGAAGGCTGTCCCAGTGAACAGAAAGCCTGATGAAGCCAGGTGTGTTGGTCGAAAGGCACAAATATGAGGGCTATGCTGTAAACAGGTGTTGCTCAAATAATGTTGATGGGACAGACAATGAAGAAGAAGAAGAATATATTAGGTATAAAATTGCAAACCTATGTCACCTAGTGGTAAACGAGTGGAACAACACTCCTAACAGTCACTGTACACCACTTATTGTAAAACCAGTAGTTAGTTGCGTATCATTTACAGGACATTGCAGAACTAACCCCAGCATTTTTCGCCTGTTGTGGTTTTTCTAGGCAAATTTTACATTCAGTAGTTTGCCATTGCTTCTGAAAGGTCTGCTCTCGGTACCATTGTTCGTAACCAACACAAGACAAACCGTCCGCAGCTGGGTTCATACCCGGCATTACGAATTGCGTTCGCATCGCCTAAGCCACTGACGACCTTCATTAGGCCGCCACAAATATATCCCACTAAAACATGTTTGGTGAACATTTGGCATAAAACAAAAATTAATACAGAATAATAAAATAGTAACACAAATTCAATATTCTATTAATTCTACAACATACATTACTTCCAATGGTAAATACACTAACTTATGCTGTCGGTGCCAAACATGCGCAATGAATAGAGCACTAAAACAGAAAAATAACTACATGTTAAATGCCCAGTCTCCACAAGGTCACTGACAACGCAAGAAAGGTACAGGGTTACGAATATCAGCATTAAAAAGTCGGAATAAGACCATGTCTGGTTTATACTGACAGGCAAAGAATGAAATGGTTTGGTCATCTAGTGAGAATGCAGCTAAACCAAACTGCATATAAGAATTTGTACAGTAGAACACCTGTCAGGAAGGCGGAGGGAAGAGCAAGAAAGAGAGGGATAAATGGTATAGCTGTAACCTGCAAAAGGATGAACAAATCCATCACCAAAGCAAAATAAATACAGAAAACCACTACACTGGGCTACAGCCTGGTATCAGTGAAATGACAGAAGAAGAAGCAGGTCAATACACTAAGTCTAAACACTGACCATTCATGTGTATTCAGTATTTTTCATCACCTATTTCTGAATATTACTACATGATTAAGTTTAAAACCTTACACATAATTTTCATACGTCTTTGATGCCTAAACATTGTTAAAACATTGTGAGTTTGAAAACCTGGCAAAAATTTTGTATGTGTCTTTGAAGCCTAAACATTACTACAAGGCTGAGTTCTTTTTCTTGTTCACCAGCTGTAAACTCCAGTGGAAAGTTCTGGTTGTTTATCCACCTCTGAACTTTAAAAAATGTGTTTTAAAAACTACAATAACAAATGGTATTGATTATGGATGCTTCATAGCTAAAATTAAAGCTGACATTTGCTTCCAGGTCAACCCAGCCTAAAATTGGTACCAGATAAAGTCCTGGGAAGTAAAGGCAATGGGCGTGTGGCTGACCACATCACCCATCAGGCACTGATTTGTCTTCAAATAGTGTATGAGTCCAGGATCATATAGCAGATTGTGCCAATAATCATCTTATCAGAAGCAATTAATCAGCGCCACTAATTCATCTTACCAGAAGCAATGCATTAGTGCCGCTAATTAATCTTATCAGAAGCAATTTTTTGCTGTCACAAATTCATCCTATCAGAAGCGGTTAGTTAGCGCCACTAATTCCTCTTATCAGAAGCAGTTAGCGCTACTAATTTATCTTATCAGAAGCAGTTAATTAGCACCACTAATTCCTCTTATCAGAAGCAATTAATTAGTGCTACTAATTCATCTTATCAGAAGCAATTAATTAGAACAACTAATTCCTCTTATCAGAAGCAGTTAACTACAGAATTTTGATCTTTTCAGATAAGACATGAAACAGAAGAAACTGCAGCCCCCTCAGGGTTTTCTGCATTGAGAAATCCACACACATTTGTAAATGCATAGAAGCACCTGGCCACAATTAAATATGTCCTTTGTGACTATAGCTCGTAACACCACTGTAGCCATCATTGCAGTTGCAACATACGAGGAGTTGGAGATAAGTAAAAGCAGCGACATAGATCTCTCTCGCAAATGTAAATATAGCTTTCACAAATACAGTTGTCGGCGTCCTTCCTGTGGAATGTTTGCGTGCTGCGGAGTTGCTGAAAGTAACGAGAGTGAGGATATAGTCCTCAGTAACTGTGAGGCAGAGATCACACATGATTCCACACATCTGTACGTTTATGAGACTGGTCAGTCTGACACAGATAAACAGCAGGAGTGTAAAGAAGTTGATTTAATGTGTTTTTTGCATAGGGTTAGAGTTGAAGAACCCTGTCAAGAAAAACAGATACAGAAAAGAAAAGTCGTGGATAGAAAGAACAGAAAAAGAAGACATATGAAAGGAAAAAGCTGGTTTTTGCACTATAAGACAAGATACCACAGCCTGATAGGAGAAATGACATTACAACCTTTTAGAAGAAGACATAGAAAGAACTGCATCTTAAAACGATATAGAATGTTTAAATTTAGGATGTTTCTTGTTTTGATTTCTTTGAGAATAGTTAAGAGATCTGACACATCAGCTGAAGTTGAAGCATCAGAAAATATGCTTGAGAAAGTTCGACACAATGATGTGTCAGGAAATGATTCTGTTGAAATTAATGAGAGTGTACTACACAGCGATGTGTCAGGAAACAGATCTGTTGAAATTTATGAGAATATTCTACACAGTGATGTGTTGGGAAACAGTTCTGTTGAGATTGATGAGAGTGTTCTACACAATGATGTGTTGGGAAGCAGTTCTGTAGAAATTGATGAGAAAGTTCTATACAGTGATGTGTCAGAAGAGAGTTCTGTTAAAATGGATGAAAATGTGGTAGATGATGATGTGTCTACAGACAGTTCTGTTGAGATTTATGAAAATGTTCTGTATGGTGATGTGTCAAGAAACAGTTCTTTTGAAATAAATAAGGATGTTCTACACAGTGCTGTTGTTCACACTGACAACAATGTTCTCAATGATAATGTTTGTGTGAACAGTTCTGTTCACCAAGAAAATGTTCTGCATGATAACTTGTGCGTGGACAGTTCTATTCACTACGATAACAATCTTCTACACATTGATTTGTCTGCAGAAAGTTCTATTCACTACGATAACAATCTTCTACACAGTGATTTGTCTGCAGACAGTTCTCTTTGCAAAGATAACAATGTTATACCTGATACTGTGTGCAGTTCTGTTCACAGTAAGCATGTACCCCAGAATTTGTCCGGAGATATCTACACTAAAATCTGTGCAGATTATAAGGATTTGCCAGAAACCAGTGGTTCTGAAACTTGTGAGAATTATCCATGTAATGACTTGCCTGAAAGCAGCTCTCATGATAATATTAGTGAGAGCTCTTCTGTGGACAACTTTGTTAAATTCAAAAGAAATCTTTACGATGATTTATTTGAACACAGTTGGGAATCTGTTGAAATCAGTGAAAACTTTTTTGAACAGGTTAAATCTGAAGACAGTTGCTTTGAGTTATCAAAGCTCCTTTACAATAGTAAATTAAACCCTAAGCAATGCACAGAGCACTAAGGCTGTAGACAGAGCTGACTGGATGTTGAAATCGTCAGGAATTGATAGCATCAGATCGTACATAGATATCACGCGGCTTCTTGGGATTTACCCCAGGTATTCTCACAGCCTGCCTATGTTCTGGCAAGAGATTACGCTATATCCATTTACTCATTCAAATAACCCTCCTGGCGATCTCCTTCAGTTGATGCGTTACGAAGTTTTTCGGCTGTGTTCCTTCAGCTATGCCAGATTTCCTGCAGATTTTGATGTGTGGGTGACCCACTTGGCCCAGGCTGGGTTTTATTGTGAGAACGAGCACGGGCGCATTGTTTGTTTTAATTGTGGCTGTGAATTCCGTGGCCCTGTGGGGTCATCTGTAAATGATGTTCACCATCCGGAGTGCCAGCGAAGTGAACATAGCAGACCCTTACATGTCTGGACCGAAGGCTTAAACCAGGAGATCTTAGCTGTGTATTACAGTCGATATGGAAGCTTAAGACCATACAATTTTGAGGTATCTGGTCAGCGGAACTTGTCTGATGATGCATACAGTGGTCTTGAAACTACGCAGGCATCTGCCATTACTGAACCTCAAGCACAAGGTTACAGTGAGCCGGCTTCAGGCGACACGTCAGGGGATGCCGAACCAGGTATCCCAGTCTTGGCAGAAGTAACTAGAGGAGACTCCGTTTTCGAAGAAGCTGCTCAGCCAGAATATCACAGCCAGACATTACCTGCAGACTTCACTGACGCAAATCGTGACCCCAGATTTGGAGATCAGCTGCATAGCTTGCCTGGTAACCTGAATGAGGTTTCTGGTGCTATTGTCACTGAGGAAAGCCAAGATTCACCAAGACCTTACCAAGTTCTGACCTCTGCCGCCAGAAGTCCCATGCCTTTTTACAATCCGGCTGCTCGAGGTGGTCAGTCACAAGCTGAAGATAGAAATGAAAATGGGGCAGTTGGTGGTGCGGGGGTCGCTCTCGACCTCAGCAAAGCTTCCTATCCGCTGTTCTCCAGTGCAGAAGCAAGGAGGCAGTCATTCACCTCATGGAGTCGAACTCATTCCCATCGGCCTGAAGACCTAGTTGCTGCAGGCTTCTTTTATGCAGGTAAAGTTCAATGTTTAAGCTTTTTTTTAATCCATTTTCACCCTTAAAGGAGCAGTAGGCACTTTGTGTTGTCAGCTGTCATTCGACTCATATTATATTAGGCAAGGCCAATCCCTGCAGACCATGGATTTTACTGCTATGACTAAAGTCTAGTGCGGGAATAGCTGTCACTGATAGACTAATTCACTGTCCTGTTCCCAGTGTACTCATCCATTCTTTTCTATCCTGTGCACTTAGTTCGATATCGTGGATGGAATCCAGCCCAGCAATTTTGGCTTCTCCTCCAGATGTGTCTAATATAACGCCTTCTTATCTGTCTTGTAACTGTTGAAACTACAGAACCTCAACCCTCATTGAATCTCTTGCATCTTTGTGTCCTGTCTGATGATTCTCTGCTGGTTTCTCCTCCAGATGTGTCTAATATAGTGCCTTCTTATCTGTCTTATAGATGTTGATACTAGTGCTTGCACAGACATTTCTCTTATTTCTTTACTGTTTTTGAATTCATACCAATATAATTTCAACATTTTGCTCAGGCATTTGTTATAGACAGCATTTAACTTTCCTTCCATGTCTTCAGTAGTTCTCCAACTTCACTGCCATTTGTTATAGACTGCATTTAACTTTCCTTTCATGTCTTTAGTGGTTCTCCAACTTCACTGCCATTTGTTATAGACTGCATTTAACTTTCCTTTCATGTCTTCAGTGGTTCTCCAACTTCACTGCCATTTGTTATAGACTGCATTTAACTTTCATTCCATATCTTAAGTGGTTCTCCAACTTCACTGCCATTTGTTATAGACTGCATTTAACTTTCCTTTCATGTCTTCAGTGGTTCTCCAACTTCACTGCCATTTGTTATAGACTGCATTTAACTTTCCTTTCATGTCTTCAGTGGTTCTCCAACTTCACTGGCATTTGTTATAGACTGCATTTAACTTTCATTCCATATCTTAAGTGGTTCTCCAACTTCACTGCCATTTGTTATAGACTGCATTTAACTTTCATTCCATATCTTAAGTGGTTCTCCAACTTCACTGCCATTTGTTATAGACTGCATTTAACTTTCCTTTCATGTCTTCAGTGGTTCTCCAACTTCACTGCCATTTGTTATAGACTGCATTTAACTTTACTTTCATGTCTTCAGTGGTTCTCTAACTTCATTGTCATTTGTTATAGACTGCATTTAACTTTCCTTTCAGGTCTTCAGTGGTTCTCCAACTTCACTGGCATTTGTTATAGACTGCATTTAACTTTACTTTCATGTCTTCAGTGGTTCTCCAACTTCACTGGCATTTGTTATAGACTGCATTTAACTTTCCTTTCATGTCTTCAGTGGTTCTCCAACTTCACTGGCATTTGTTATAGACTGCATTTAACTTTCATTCCATATCTTAAGTGGTTCTCCAACTTCACTGGCATTTGTTATAGACTGCATTTACTTTCCTTTCATTCCAACCATTTGTTATATAACTTTCATTCCATATCTTAAGTGGTTCTCCAACTTCACTGCCATTTGTTATAGACTGCATTTAACTTTCATTCCATATCTTAAGTGGTTCTCCAACTTCACTGCCATTTGTTATAGACTGCATTTAACTTTCATTCCATATCTTAAGTGGTTCTCCAACTTCACTGCCATTTGTTATAGACTGCATTTAACTTTCCTTCTATGTCTTAAGTGGTTCTCCAACTTCACTGCCATTTGTTATAGACTGCATTTAACTTTCCTTTCATGTCTTCAGTGGTTCTCCAACTTCACTGCCATTTGTTATAGACTGCATTTAACTTTACTTTAATGTCTTCAGTGGTTCTCTAACTTCACTGCCATTTGTTATAGACTGCATTTAACTTTCCTTCTATGTCTTAAGTGGTTCTCCAACTTCACTGCCATTTGTTATAGACTGCATTTAACTTTCCTTTCATGTCTTCAGTGGTTCTCCAACTTCACTGCCATTTGTTATAGACTGCATTTAACTTTACTTTCATGTCTTCAGTGGTTCTCCAACTTCATTGTCATTTGTTATAGACTGCATTTTACTTTACTTTCATGTCTTCAGTGGTTCTCCAACTTCAATGCCATTTGTTAACATTGAAATAACAGAGTTGAAAATGTGTAACTTGGTTTTAAAACTATACAATTTAGAGATCCTTAAATTTGTGAAGCTATTCAAAGCTGTTGATGCCTTGCTAGTGCAAGTTACAATTTCTTTCTTTGTATTTCCTTCACTAACAAAATGACTACCTAAATAATTAAATCAATATGTTACTTTATTTAATTTTGTCTTTAATGTTTCATCTGCTTGATCTGCTGTTGATGTCTTCAGTATATCTGTTTTTTTCATAACTGATTTCGTAGTCCAACTGTTGATGCTATATTTGCTGAATCATGTTTTTTTTCTTTACATATCATTGTTGTTTTTACCTAGCAGAGCAATATCATCAATAACATCGAGATCTTTCAACTACGTGTTCTCAACCTTGTCAGTGCCAATGTTTCCAACACAGCATTTTGCCACCTAGTCCACATAAAAACGTGATTATTCTGTCGTTCTGAGGCTGGTTTTCTCTCAGACATCTCCTCTCTATAGCTTGCTGCGTTTCACCTCTTTTAAACTGTGATGGTCCATCTTTCATTGTCTGTCTCTAAAGAAGTAGGTTTGCAGCTGATCTCTCCCAAGTGTCTATGTCAGTGTTATCTTTCACGTCACATTTGCATGCCTTTACATCCACCCACTTTTTTTTTTTTTTTAACATTTAGCCTGTCCGTAATTAAAATCACATTAGCTACTATTATTAACTGTACTAGGTACTAGAAAGAAAGTCGGTCGGCGTAATGTTGACTACATCACTGACCGAATGCCGTTTAGTCTGTTATGTAGGTCTAGCCCATGTACCCTGTATAGAGAGGTGTGGAAAGGGTACCTTTTTTTCCTAACTTTACTGTCCACATTTAGCAGTTTAGAGCACTGTAGTTAACTATACTGTTTTACATGCACATGTTTGATTTACAGCAGGTGTTGGCGGTGTTGACAGATCTAAACATAGCAATAGAGTGCAAAGGCATTAAACAGGCATCTGAGTTTAAATATCTGGGAACTACATTTACGGAAGATGGGAAATTGGATAAAGTAATTAACATTAGATGCAGTAAAGCAAACCAAGTATTGGGACAGCTAGCTCCCCTCTTACAGTATAAGACAATCCCAATCAGCACAAAAAGACATCTTATTCAAAGCATATTTATTCCAACTCTGTGCTACCAGTGCCAGACATGGTCACTCACAACAAACCATAAAAGAAAATTAGTAACCATGGAAATGAGATGTCTGAGAATGGCTGTAGGAGTGACCATAAGAGATAAGATCAGGAATGAGATCATAAGAGAAAAAGTCGGCACAGAACCAATTCTGGATTACATACAAAGACAGCAATTGAAATGGTTTGCCCACTTAGAGAGAATGCCTTGTGACACCATACCATACAAAGCATACATGGAAAGAGAAGGACGGAGAGCACGAGGTAGACCAAGAACAATATGGAAGGATAACATCAGAGAAACTCTACAACAGCACGATGTGCCTATGGTCGAGGCTAGAAAGAGCTAGAAACAGAACCTTATATCTCCCTCGACACCCACAGCGGTAAAAGAGGAAGTGAAGAAGAAGAAGTTGGCAGTACCCTTGACATTTTTTAACTGTGACTTTACTGTGCTATAATTGTGGAAGACTTCTGTTAATGCAGGCGGGTCTTGCTAGTCACACTGGCTTAAGTCCCATGCCTTCTCAGAGCACAGTATAAAACTATAGTCCTGGAAAGACGGAAATTTGCCAATCAATCATCATGGGAAATTACTCATACACCAAGAATCCTTGTGTGGGTTGATGGGAATGTAAAAGCTGACTAACTGGCATAGGGGTTGTCCTTCAAAGTCGGAAGTCGTCAGCTTGGGAGGCAAGAAATCAACAGTCTGCATGCAAAAAAGCTAGATTGTAAAATGGATGTGCATGCAGCAATAAAATTCTGGAACAACACAAAAGTCTAGAAGTGGACAAACAAACAGAACTTTCTGTCAGAGCAGTGACTAAATTGAGTTTAAAATGGTGTGACATGTTAACAGAACCTCAACCCTCATTGAATCTCTTGCATGTTTGTGTCTTTTTGCTGTTCCAAATCTCTTGCATCTTTGTGTCCTGGCTGTTCCAAATCTCTTGCATCGTTGTGTCCTGGCTGTTCCGAATATCTTGCATGTTTGTGTCCTGGTTCTTCCTAATCTCTTGCATGTTTGTGTCCTGGCTGTTATGAATCTCTTGCATGTTTGTGTCCTGGCTGTTCTGAATCTCTTGCATGTTTGTGTCCTGGCTGTTATGAATCTCTTGCATGTTTGTGTCCTGGCTGTTCCGAATCTCTTGCATCTTTGTGTCCTGGCTGTTCCGAATCTCTTGCATATTTGTGTCCTGGCTGTTCCAAATCTCTTGCATATTTGTGTCCTGGCTGTTCCAAATCTCTTGCATCGTTGTGTCCTGGCTGTTCCGAATATCTTGCATGTTTGTGTCCTGGTTCTTCCTAATCTCTTGCATGTTTGTGTCCTGGCTGTTATGAATCTCTTGCATGTTTGTGTCCTGGCTGTTCTGAATCTCTTGCATGTTTGTGTCCTGGCTGTTATGAATCTCTTGCATGTTTGTGTCCTGGCTGTTCTGAATCTCTTGCATGTTTGTGTCCTGGCTGTTCTGAATCTCTTGCATGTTTGTGTCCAGGCTGTTCCAAATTTATTGCATGTTTGTGTCCTGGCTGTTTCCAGGATATGCTGACTGTGTCCGGTGTTTCTACTGTGGCCTGGGACTCAAATACTGGAGACCCAACGACATCCCCGCCTACCAGCATGCCAGGTACCGGCCTCATTGTGTATACAACCGTCTGTACAAGGGGCAGGATTACATCGACAGGGTACAGCAGGACCTTCAGGTGAGACCACTCATCTCTTATATTGTTTCCACTGAGTGTATACACAGTACTTACTTACTTAATCGCTCCTCTTCTACCTTCTAAAGGTTTGCCAGAGAGATTGCCAGACTTCTCTGTTAGCAGTTTTCTTTCTGGCTTTGTTCCATTCCATTCCTCTGTCAGTCAGGGACTGTCAGATGTCTTCCCAGCAGACCCTGGGTAGCCCTGAAGGTCTGGTTCCCCGGTGAGCTGCTGTCATGTGTATATACAATACAGCTCCAAAAGAATGGATGGTGGATAACTGCCTGGGTGATGGATGTCACTGACATTATCCAAAAGCACTTAAGTACAGTTGTGATTGTCACTTAAGTACTGTTATGATTGTCACTTAAGTACAGTTATGATTGTCACTTAAGTACATTTTTATTTGCCACTTACAGTATGCCAACAGCACATGTGAATTTCTACTCCTAAAAGGTCAAAATAAAGTGTTGTATGTGTTTAGTTCAGTAGTACTGCATTGGAACCACATCTTAGAACAGGGCACATTCGACTTCACAACCACATGTACACAAAACTTTAAGATCGGCGAATCAGCCATGTGTGCCTGTGGACTGGGACAACAGATCGCATCCTCCAAGACTGTCCCAGATACAACTTTTCCAGACAAAACTTCTGGTCGAGAGAAACATTAGTGGAAGCCAAACTTTAGAAGCCGTTACGTGAATTACAAAAGATAGTTAAGTTTATACTAGAGACAACATTGCAGATATAGATAATTTATTTCAGGCGAACAAAAGCAAAAGAAAATATATATTTACCAGAAATTCAGGCCATAGGCGTGTATGTGTGCGTGGGTGTTTTTTTTCCTTCTTTTAGTTCAGTAGTACGGCATTTAAAATGAGCCACCGTTATGTCTACCTGAAATTCAGGCCATAGTAATTTGTGTGTGTGTGTTTAGTTCAGTAGTATGGCATTAGAACCAGCACACCTTCAGTATATATGTACCAGAAATTCAGGCTATAGTCCTCTATATGTGTGTTTAGTTCAGTAATACGGAATAAGAAGCAGCCCTCCTTCGAAATATATGTACCAGAAATTCAGGCCATAGTAATTTGTGTGTGTGTTTAGTTCAGTAGTATGGCATTGAAAATAAGCCACCCTCATAACGTCTACCAGAAATGTGGGCCATAGTACTGTGTGTGTATGTGTGTTTAGTTCAGTAATACGAGACATTAGAAACAGCCCGCCTTCGATATATGTGTACCAGAAATACAGGTCATAGTACTCTCCGTGTTTAGCTCAGTAGTATGGCATCGGAGCCAGCCTAAACCTTATAATATAGTTTAGTTCGTATCCTTTTCAGGACGTTGCAGAACCAACCCCAGCAGCCCCTGGCTGTTGGGTGGTTTCTCTAGTCAAATTTACATCCAGTAGTTTGTTGTTGCTTTCTGGACGGTCTGCTCCCTGATACCAGTGTCGAAACCAACGCAAGGCACATGGCCTGCAGCTGGGATCAAACCTGGCACCCCGGCATTACGAAGGGTTCGCATCGACTTAGCCACAAAGCCAACAAACCTTGTAATATATCTAGCAAACATTCTGACCTTGAAGCTGTGTGTGTGTTCAGTTCAGCATAACACGCCAACCACTTTTGTAAGGTCGAACGCTTTAAAATATGAAGAGTCTTGCTATTGCTTGAATTCGTTGACAACATCACTAGCCTAAGCAGACAATACCAGGACCTAGATATTCAACCTCACATAAACAAATTAGAAGACATAAAGAATACGTCAGCTTTACTGAACATATTGCAGTAAACACACAAAGGACATTGTAGCAATGCACCTTCAATAGCATATAGTGATGAGAAATAAAAGAGCATAGAGAATATGTCAGCTTTACTGAACATATTGCAGTAAACACACAAAGGACATTGCAACAATGCACCTTCATCAGCATATAGTGATGAGAAATAAAAGAGCATAAAGAATATGTCAGCTTTACTGAACATATTGCAGTAAACACACAAAGGACATTGCAACAATGCACCTTCATCAGCATATAGTGATGAGAAACAGAAGAGCGAGAGAAAAAAGTGACTGCAGGTTTCAAAATTTTCATAGCATTACTGAGGTCAGCGTACTTTGATAACTTCAAGATGGGCATGCTAGAGTGAGCAGTAATCCAAACAGTATTAATCTCTGACAGGAACTCCTGAGCAAACATGGTTCTCACCTTTGTGAAAACTAGACCTGCCTCTGTTCAAGTGTCCTGCAACCTACTATGGCCTGTTGCTTGATGTTCCCTTTCAAACATCAGGCGAAGGCTGCTGCAGCCATCTCTGGCATTTACCAGCTCAGTTTGTTGGTTCATGGACAGTCTGTAGAAGACCTGTATCTTCATAATCTTGATCTGCCCAGAGTAGACAACTTCACAATGGAAGCAGTAAGATTATCCCTTGCTCCCCGTGTGGTTTCCTGGGCCCCATTATGGGGAAAATAAGAATAGACAGACACACTGCCTGCCCAGAAGTATGTCATAAGCGTCAACTAATTAGGAGCTTCTTTCAAAGTACGAAGTATATCTGCCTGAGAGGCAAGGAACCAGGAGTGTGCATGCAAATGAATCAGACCTGTGAAACGGATGTGCATGCTACACTCATTTTCTGGAATAGGAGTAGAGTCCAGAAGTGGATGAACAACCATAACTTTTCATTCTGTCTGTCTGGCCTTGAGGTATAGGCCAAACATTGTATTTTTTCAGCTGGTTTTTTACTTACCTAATTGAAGTGTTGGTGAGAGATGTAAGGATATTATATGTGCTCTTTCTGATGTATTGCTTACGTATATCTTCATTTCTCTAAAGCTGTTCTTGTTGCTGTCATTCCATTGTTACTTGGTGTTCCCTTTGCTCTGTGTTCCTTATATTTCTTGAGCATGGTAGTTGGTACCACAGCAGTCTTGTCAGATGACCAAACTATCTGATATATTGCTCTTTAATGAACTGTTTGACAGGTTTAAGTCCGGCTTTTCTTCTGATTTCATTTCTAATTGTATCTCTTTTTGTCATTCTGGCAGCTTTTCTAAAACACTCATAGTATATTTTAAAAAAGAACATTGTTTGGTACTTGTTTGCAGGGAACCACTGAACAGCCTATAGATGCCGCACCCCCAGCACCAGGTGAAGCCATGACGGCAGTCGTACAGAGACCAAATCGAGGTAATATTGGTAACTCCTGCCCACTTCACTTTTATGTGCCACGTGCATTTTATAAAAGTATTAAAAAAAAACAATAAACAGGCTTGTCCAGGCTTATTTTAATTAGATTTAGATGCCGTATTAGTACCTTTTCATGGTTTGTGTGTGTGTGCTGATTTAGCCAGTTTGCTACATCTTTTTCCTTTATGTTTTTATGTTCACAACTACCATATTCATGCCATCTGCAGTGAATCTACTGAAGTTTCTATTTCTGGCCATGATTGTACAGTTTATTTATTTGAACTTTGATAATATGCTTTGTGGGTAGGAAAACCACCACAGTGTAGTGGCTAAATGCTCGCCAGTGGATCTGAAGATCGTGTATTCAAATCTGAACAGTTTTTTTTTTTTTCAACACCAACCCTGGCTCCCAGATCAACCCAGCTTTTAAAAGGTGACCAGATAATGTCCAGGAAAGTAAAAGGCACTAGGCGTAATGTTGACAAAGAGGTCCAGTTGGTCTGAAAATATAAATCTAGTACTATATATGCAGCAGGAGACGCCATGGCGGAGCGGCTATTGGCTTGCCGTGGATTGGAAGGTCGTGGGTTTGCTTCCTGGCTGAGCCATACTTTTTCAAAAATGACCTTGGCTCTCAGGTCGACCCAGCCTTGAGTGGGTACAGGGTGCAGTCCCGGGAAGTAAAGGCGGCCGGCGTGATGCTGACCACATCACCCATCTTGTGCCGATTTGTTTATAAAATATAGGTCTAGCCCAATACGCCTAAAGGCGTGTAAAAGGGTCCTTTACTACTTACTTACACCTAAAGGTGTGGGAAAAGTTCCTTTGTGGGTAGGAGTTTTTGAGATGGAGTTATGATCTGTCTGCAGTGATAATATTAGTTTACTTACACCATGGCATCACCAAATTCTTAAAAGGTTGGTGGTCACGCAGGGGGAGTGGTGATTTCATTATTCCATGCAATATTTTCATGTATGATTTCTAGAAATGGTAGACCTGAGTGGCAAAGCTGTCGGTATAAATCTGTAGTTGAATTGTTCCAGTTGACAGTATAGACTCGCATAGTACTTTCTTATAAAAATGGAACGATCATAGAGATTTTGTAAATAGTTATTTCGGTCTTTTTTTCTCTCAGTGCTAGGTGAGGCAGCATCTGTGACTACCACAGCTTCGGTGACAGGTAATTATTAGTTTAACTCTTTATCATCATTGTCATTATCACTCAGTCTGATTTCTGGTGTAGAAAATATTTTCATGATGTACAACACTGTTTTAAGCAGTTTGCATTGGTCCTACATTAAACATGTGTATGTACCTCATTGTTGATGCTAAATGAGGTAGTTCCAGCTTCATAGCAAACAGGTCATCCCATAGTTGCTTTGTTCCGGTGCCAGCAAAAACCACACTGAATATTCATCCCTGTGCCTAATGGTAAAAATGTACACAGACTGCAGTCTGAGCAAATCCAGTTGCATAGTTGATGACTCTTAAATCAGTAATTTCCAAACTGTACGCCATAGCGCCGCAAAATATTCGAAGATAAACAAGTTTTTTTTTTTTTAAATCTCTTACATACAAATACTAATACTTTTACTTATGTTAGGGCGCTGTGGGAAAATTTTAATTTAAAAAAAAAGGCGCCGCGACTAAGACAAGTTTGAGAAACACTGCTCTAAATATTTGTAGTTCTGCATGTATATTCCCTCTCTACTGGTCTACCTTAGTAATAAATCAGCCATAACTTGTGGCCTGTAAATTAAGTTTTCAACCCTATGATCTTTCCAAACTAGGGGTAGACTTATGTGGTGCATATAAAATGGGATAGACCTAACTTATAATTCTGAGAGAAAAATCTTGTGGTTGACTTGTACACTACAGTTTACGGTAATCCTGTTGGTTAAATAATTTACCGTGAAGCACACTTTGACCCTACGATAACCTCTGTATTCTCTTATGCAGCATCAGATTTTTCTTGTTCTGTCTTCTAAAGTTTGTACCAGTAGGGCGATACAGCGCAGACCACTCAAATGATGTCGGATATTGCAAGTCTCTGTTGTGAAGAACAAATTGTTTATCCTCTGACAATTTTTCTTGCTTGAATTCTGATCTGGATAAGAGACATTTCTGATATGAACAATTTCTTGGACCCCAGGCGAGTTCTGCACTGTACATGCAAACCACTGGGAGTTGTAATTATCAAAGGAGCAAACAGTTGTTGTACAGAATAGGTTCATAAAATGTTTCTAACATCTGTACATATGCTAGTAGGATGAGTTATTCCTATATGTATTTTTACATTCTCTGGCATATAATCTCTCTTTCCCCTCCCCCACCCCTTTCCCTGTTACATCAAAATAAATGGTTGTGTGTACATGTAATAAAGACAGTTTTTTTTTTCCATGTTTAATTAATTGGAATTCCCTGTGTGGGTCTCAGGGCCCCTTTGGGGGGGGGGGGGGGGTGGGGGGGTGTAGACTCACTAGCACCCTAACAAACATGTTGTAAAAGGCAACTAGTTAAAGATGTTTCCATCTGTTTGAGAGGCGAGGGATCAACAGTCTACATACAGTAAGCCAGATCTGTAAAATGGATTTGCATGCAAAATTCAAGTTTTAGAGCAATGCTAACGACAAATGGACAGACAAGCAGCCCTTTCAATCAAAGTTTACAGCTGGTGATCGTGAAGAAGAAGAAGATTAATTATTCTAATTATCCAATTTCACAGAAAATATCACTGTTTTAATCTCTTGTATTTCTGTCATTGTTGAAGCTCCTAGTGTTCCTGACCTTATGAATTCAGAAGTAGCACAAGAAGCCATGAGAAATGGATGGGACAGAAACCAGGTCCAACAGGCAGCAGATCACATTGTTCGAGAGTTTGGTAAGAACTATAACTTACAAAAAATATTCAATTTCAGTCAGACCAATACTGAATTACTTCCCCTGTCAGTTTAGCAGTACAGTGCCGACCATGGATATAGTAAATTTATGTTGTGAAGATCAATTTGTTTATCCCCAGCAATGTGCTTTGCTTAAATTCATATCAGGTCTGCGCTTTGTATGTTTATCTGTTTAGTGTTTGTCTGAGGAAATCAGAAAGAATCACGAATACAGTGAATCAACTGATAGAAAACCAGTGAAACTATCCTGATAGAAACAATTGGAAACATAAATTTATTAGACTGAAGATATTTTCGGTGTGTTCTGAGGAGAAATTTAAAGTGAAGACGTTCTACATTTCCCAGACTCAGAAAACATTGAAGCCGTAATTTCCACGTGTGCATTTTGGGATCCTCATTTTTTGGGGCAGTGGGGTTATACCCACAAACACTTAACAAGCTTATGGTAAAAGGTGAGTAGTGTACAATTTTCTGAAATAGAATAATTTGGGCTAAAAGACTGTCACCTTTTAGCTCTAAACTGCAGCACAATGTGCCGACTACCATGCAGAAGAAGAGGAAGAATCCGTAATTACAATAGTGGGACTTGCAGTGCTGAGGATAAACAGGGCCTGTGGCAGTAACTAGATGTGAGTTGTGGATCTTTCACATTTACTAAAGAAGAAAATTGATGCATCTGATCTGTATTGCATCAAGAATAAGAAAAAAACTGATATTTTATAAGTTCTAAACATTGAGAAAGCTGGCTTAAGAATAACCTCATGTCTGTAAAACTGAAAGACTTATTAAACGTGACAGATGTTCAGAAAGAAATGGTTCCGGAAGGGAGAGACCAGAATCTACTATGTTCATGGAAGCAGAACTCTAAAGTCTCTCTGGGTTAATAATGCATTATCCTGTGTGGGTTCCGGGGCCCTATTATAGGGAAAACAAGAATAGACCCACTGCCTAGCCAAAAGCATGTCATAAGAGTCGACTAATTGGGAGCTTCCTTCCAAGTCGGAGTGCATCTACCTGAGAGGCAAGGAACTAACAGTCTGCACACAAATGTTTCAGAACTGTCAAACGGATGCACATGCAAAACCCAGGTTTTGGAACAGGACTGCAGTCCACAAGTGCACGAATAACCAAAACTTTCCACTAGAGTTTACAGCTGGTTAACGCAAAGAAGAAGAATAATAATGCATTGAAAAAGTAACTTGTGAAAGAGTGAAAACCTTTCTGGAAAGCGTATCTACTTCTTAGAGAATATTTCATCATGAAGCCCCATTCTTTCTAGTCATTAGTCATCTTTGAGCGATGTTTCAACATCACTGCAGACAGTGAAAGCCGGCATTACACTCGCAAAAGTACACGCCATTCTAATTGTAATCAGCCGCCACTATTTTAAAACCCTAGTGCCAGATTTTCAATGATTGAACTGCTTGTGCGCATTTCTGATGGCAGGTGTGCACAGTTTGGAAATAAGCCTACTGCTGGATGTGCTGACAAACTTGAACATGGACAACCCTGAACGAAACCTGCCCAGTGGAGGATCTGTGAGCAGTGCAGACTCAGGGGTTGCTGACGCGACTGTGTTGCCAGGCACTGCTGCTGCAGACAGTGGTAATCTATTCTTACTAGACTTAAACTGACTGATACGTGCTCATCTACTGTTTACTTTTGTTGTTTAGAAATTCTGTAGTTTATTTATGTACAGAATGTCTGCCTAAATACTATACTTCTTCTACTTCTTTTGCTCACTCAGAATAGATTATCAATATCTGCAATAATGTCTCCAGTATGAACTTCACTGTCTGTTGTAATTCAATCAGTGACCTATAAAGTTTGGCTTGCACCACTGTTTCTAATACTGAACTAAAATTTCCCTTCATACTAATTACTTGCATAATACTTTCATTTGTGTGTGAATATAATTATTTTAATTCAAATCACATTTCTTGATTTCCTTATTATTCTTGTAATACTTTCTGATATACACCAACAGATAAGTTCTTATGATAAACTTGACTGTTTTAGAAGTTCCTTTTTAGTTCCATACAGCTTAGAGAATAGTGTTAAGTCACTGGGCCCTTATTCCTTTCTTAATGGGTTGTACAAGGGACACTTGCAGGAAATGTTCTGCAGTTTGCACACACAGCCCACATGGGCACAATGGTGAACTACTTAGACGAAGCCTGGGTATGTGCTTGTTTAGTTTGTTATGTCCTGTCCTGAGGCATAGAATGATGATTTGCCCATACCGGTCAAGTAAGTGGTAGTCATCTCTGGCCAGATTCTGTTCACTTGTGATTATGCATAAATGACATTTATTTATTCATAGACTCAGCTTACGTAAGCACATGTAGGTTAAATTGTTTTACCCACTTCCTCTGCTTTCATAAATACACATTAATTGCATATGTTTGGGAACAAGCAACGGAAGCAGTAGAGAAAGATTATTAATATGGCCTGAAGAGAAGACACATGGGTGTAACCAGAGGCTCTGGCCGGCTCACTACACTCGGAGGAAAGGCAAGACGGACATATAACCAGATTGTCTCTTGTACCATCAGTATTGGAACTCTGCGCTTGCTGCTGAAGATGAGGACGGAGCATGCATGGAAATGCCCTGAGTGCTGTGATGTATCTTGACTCAACTCAACTCGACATTAATTGCATTTATTTATTCATAGACTCAGCTTACATACATTACATTTACTTATCCATAATCTTTACTAACACACATAATTACATATAAATTGCTTTTAACTGAAATCACCCTTGATATACATTATAACTGCTTGTCATAAAGTGATACTTTATATTAGAAAGTCATATAAGGCATGGATGTCCCATTCATCAGATGCCTAAAATCCCCTGTGGCTCCATAAGCCCCATTTTGCAGGAAAAAGAAAACTCAAACCACTGCCCCAGTCCCCCCACAAGCATGTTGTTTAAGGTGACTAGACTATTTAGTGGTTTGCTAAAATTGTACGTGTTGGGCCAAAAAGGTGTAGATATCGTAGCCTTGTGTCACCATAACACAACATACAAGCCGTCCTTTAAGATGTGAAAGCAGAAGGAAGAGGAGATAAATAAAAGATGTGTTTACAAAAGAGAAAAGTAAAAGTAAAGAACTTTTTACAATGCATATAAGAATTTTTACCGTAGAACATCTGGGAGGAAGGCAAGAGGTAGACCAAGAAAGAAATGGATAAAGGGTATAGATGAAACCTGCAAAAAGATGAACAAATTCATTCACTCAAACCACCCGAGAAGTGCAAGACAAATACAGAAAACCACACTGGGCTACAACCTGGTATCATTGAGACGACAAAAGAAGAAGAAAGGACTCATTTCCGTGCCTGTAGGTTCTTGGGCTAGACCTATATTTATTATATAGACTAGTCGGTACCTGATGGGTGATGTGGTCAACATCACACCAGCGGCCTTCACTTTCCAGTACTGTACCTGGTAGCCAGTTACAGCTAGGTTGACCTGGAAGCCAAGGTAAGTAAAAAAGTAAAGATCCCTTTTCACGCCTTCTAGGCGCATCGGGCATATGGGAAGACACCCATATTTTTACAGACCAGTCGGCACTAGGTGGGTAATGTGGTCAGCGTTACGCCGGGGGGAGCCAAGGTTATTTAGAAAAAAAATGTCTGGCTCCATCAAGACCTTTGGCTCTACAGATGACCATCTAGCCGCTACACCGCAGCAGCTGCCTTGATAACAGTAGATATTCAAAACGTTTTCCTGTAATGAATTTAAATAATGCGGACGCAAACAGTACATTGCACAATTTATTGCCAGGCACATTTTGCTGTATCTCGTCAGGTACGTTACTGCAGAGTAACATTAACATAAAATGAAGCACAAAACTGAATAAATCCAACTGAAATGCAAATAATTTCTTCTGACACATCCTTTGTGTTATTTGGCCGGCGCAAGCTCACCATAGTCACGTGAAAGTAAATTTATCTATAAATAATTACCTATGAACTTTATTGTTTCAGTAGAGGTCAGTGCTGGAGGGGGAATTGATGTCGCTGATGCCACACATGAAGAAGCTGATGCTACGCCTCAACCTAGAGCAGTTCCAATCCAACAGCCTGCGGTACCGCCGATAGAATTTAATGAGTTGTTCATGTCGGTCGAGAGGGAGCACACCCTGCTGGCTGAGCGAACCACATGTCGACTGTGCAGGAGGAGGCCAGTCAGTTGTATCTACTTGCCATGTGGCCACGTCATTGCATGCCAGGAGTGTGCTGATAATGCCACTCACTGCATTCTCTGCTCAAAGCAGATTATTGGCACCGCTAATATTTACTTAGCTTAAAGTGGGATTTGTTCTTGTTTTGTTTATGTAATTTCTTCTGACAAAATCTCTGGTTATAAGAAAAAAATGTTTGCTTTTCTTTTATTACTTTTAGTTAAAGTACATAAACAGAAAATCAGGTAAACAGAATAAATCCTATTAATGGACAATAAATGCAGAAATGTTAGTTTATTCCTTGTTTCTTTAATGTACTGTCTATGTGTAACTATTTATATACGGTGCTGTTCATATGCTAAATACTATATGTGATTTTATATGATTTATTGTAACCATGTCTGTCCAGGTGATCTTCTTTAACCCTCTTAGCACGGACGGGCCGATTATCAGCCATCGGCAGTCTGGCCAAAAACACGGAACGGCCGATCATCAGCCCGATCCTGTTTCGCCTCGACACCGCAAGAAATCTCCTATTTTGAAACACTGAAAGTGATTATTTTATTTTCTCAGCTGTATTAACTTTACACCCTTACAAGCCAAAGTGGATCAGTCACAGTTACGATGGTTTGGACATGTATGCAGAATGGGAGAAAATCGTCCACCATGGCAGGCATGGGAGGCTAAGAACCAGGGAACCAGACCTCCAGGACGACCCAGGGTGCGCTGGGAAGACAACATCCGACAGTCCCTAACTGACAGAGGACTGGAATGGAACAAAGCCGGAAAGAAAACTGCTGATAGAGACGTCTGGCAATCTCTCTGGCAAACCTCTACACCCCAAGGTAGAAGAGGAGCGACTAAGTAGTAGTAGTATTAACTTTACACATGGTGACTTTTTAGTGTTTGGTGTCGAAGTGAAAATTGTTGAATTTTTTAGATAGTGACCTGAACCGCTAAAAGTATGTCTTAGTGTATGTTTCTGCCCCTGAATTGGATGTTGATGAAACATTTGAATCAGGTGATGACACTAATTTTTTTGATACTGATGCAGGATCTAGTGTTAGTGATAGTTGGGAATCAGATGGGGACGCTGATCAGACCACAGCCCAACCATGGCTCAGGGTATATCCACCCGAAGATGTTGACACTCCGGCACATCCATTTCTTGAGCTGACTGGTCCAAAACACATGCCACCTAAAGATGTTATTGCTGTTTCATATATGTATCTGATTTTGACTATTGAAATACTTACAACATTTGTAACAGAAACCAACAGATATGCAGCTCAGTTGATTGCAAAAAGTGCAAATATCCTGAAGCTTAGATCTTTTGTACAGAACTGGAAATAAAGGCAATTATTGCAGTTATTTTGAACAAGGGGCTGAACAGGAAACCTACCCTGTTCCTCTTGTGCAAAGGGTATTCACCACTATTGTTTTGAAAAAAAAATTTTTTTTAAAGGCCAAAGATTAATAACAAGATTTCAAATAAAATAAATTTTTGTTTTTAGTTATGTGTTTCATGCATTGAAGTTAAAAATTCATATTTTAATTTTCTATTTTTAGATATGCAAATGAGATAATTTTGCATATACATTAATTTATTTTAACGATATTGTGAAAATCATGAACTTCAGTCTATATCCTTCAAATCAATCTGTTATGTCATGGGGGTCAGAATAACAGAATGTGTCAAAAAAATTAAATAAAGTAATAACCAAATTTACTGAAAAAATGCTCCGTGTTTTTGACTAGACATCCGAAAAACTTCCAGTGCTAAAAGGGTTAAGACCATATGCGGGGTAGGAAAGTGGCGAATTCAGGTCAGGTTGAAGTTAATTTTGACACATCTTAGTATGTCTGTCACATTGGCTATTGCTTTTGTCTAAAAAAATGTCACTTAAATGCAATGTATTATATTTTACTGAGCTGATCTAACATGCCTGATTTTTTATTTTCTGAAAATTGTTCACTTTTCGGACCTAGCAGCATGACTTCCACAAGGAGATAAGTGTATGTATCATATACCTTTGTAGTCGTTATTATGTCCCCTGCATTGCTCGAGAGGTTTAGGGATTGTGGAATGTCACCTTTCCAATTCACAGCGTTTCAGTTCATCCTTACAGCCTTCCAGAAACTTCTATTTATGGGTGTAAATATGACCTTACTCATTAGTTTTTCTGCTCGGTCAGCTGCCTGATAAACACTCTCGTTCTCTGAAGATTCACTCACTTTTCACTCTTCAAATGCCATATGACCTGGCTTTCTCAACCTCTAAAATAATTCCAAGTTTAAATAATCTGTTTCCCTCTTGAGTTCTCAAATGTTCCACAAATGATTCATGCTTTTTCTCATCTGGCACATTTTCAGCCAACCTGCACACTTGTCTCGAGTTATTTATAGCTCAGTCCTATTCCTGCAAACATTATACTTCGTAATCTATACCTTTTAACCAAACCCATGCACACAATGTATGCTTAATAGTTAATCTCATTTACAAATTAGATCATTAATTAACAATGAGAAAATGACTCATTGCAGTCACTGTTTATCTTGGTTTCCACAGCAACCATTAAGTGTACAGTCAGTATGACAGTGTTTTATTGACCTATAGGATGTCAGAACATAGAAATTATATAGTATACAATTTAATTGTTTTTTTCTGCCCCACATTGCCTTAATTCGAGATAACTGACTCATGTAGAGAACTGATTGACTTTATGGCCACGTTATCACAGTCAATAGGAGACTTGCTTTCATATCCAGCTGTGAATTGCTGCAGCCCAGGGCTGGTGTTTGAAACCAGGTGGTTCCTGAGGTTCATCCAGCCTCTAGGAAATAAATACGAGAGTTAACACTCTTAGGTAAATGGAGGAATGTCGTTGTAGCTACGGAGTTGCGTGTGGACGGCGACACAGGCGGAAAGTTTCTTATCAGCTGTCCGTACTGGTGGCAGAGCACTTATAGTTTATAACTGTGTGCAATGACGCTGGTTCATATCTCCTGACTTTACCTTTTTACTGACTGACTACAGCAGAGGGAGATAGTCCATTCTTTGGACATGTTATGAGAAGGAGAAAGCTGGAGTACATCGTGACAGTGGGAGAGGGGAGGGAAAGAGGCAGAGGGAGACCAAGAGAAAAGATGCTGGACAGTTTTATATTATGGCATAGGAGTTCTTCTGTGTCAGAATGGATTAAAAGTACATGAGACAGAAGGTTGTAGATAGACATGACTACCACAGGCATGGCTTATAAGAAGAAAAATCAGGAACTTTTGGAACAATAACCTTTGTTAAATTCATTAAAAAATTAAGAGAAATAATTAAGAGGCCTGGTGACATTAGTATTATTATTATTAATGTGCTTAATGGCAAGTAACCATAATAACATACTTGAAATCCGGGAAGGCTAACCTGGTCAACAAATGCCCGCAGAAGTCGGATGTGTTGGCTGAAAGGTGCAAATATCGCAGCCATGCTATAAACGGACACAAAGCAATTACATCTTTGGATGAACGCAGAAGAAAAATAATATACTTGAAATAATATGAAATGTATAAATACCTGTAAAGACAATTTATTTTTTACACGGGGGATTATTATTGTGATGAGGGAAGCTCAGCCTCCCGAAAAATTTCTTCGGTGGGGGGAGGGCCTCATTAAGCTTGGACTTCCAGGTTCTGATGCCTATATCTAAATCTCCAGCAGCTAAATTGAACCGGGTATTTAAAAATTACAAACCATCTTCATAAACCCAGACTATTTATGTAAATACGTGTATATTTATGTTTGGATGTAAACATCAGAAGGGAAGGAGGCGGACATTGGAATACTTATGTTTTTATCTGTATGTTAATGTATTCATTTTCATCGTCTTCATGGAGTAGGTTCCATGCATCATCAGTGTATGTCTTGTCTCCTTACACCGGACATAGAACTGCCATGGCGTGGCAGCTATACGCTTGTCTGCAGATCCTAAGGTCATGGGTTTGAATCCAGACTTTTTCAGAAATGACTTTGGCTCATGGTTAAACTAATCTTAAATGGGCACCAGGTAAAGCCCTGAGAAGTAAGGGTGGCCGGCATGATGTGGATCACATCACCAGCTGATTGGTCTATAAAATGTAGTTCTAGCACTATATTCCTCATACACCTGAAGGCATGTAAATGGGTGCTCACTTAACTGAACAAGAGTTACGGTAGCGAAGCTACAAGGCCCAAAAGTCTTAGGTTTACAATCATCAAATCAGTTGTTGTTTTTTTTTTCAAATTGATCCTGGCACCAAGTTGACTGACTCAGTCTAAAGTGTGGGTACCACGTTAGGTCATGCCCCTCCGCCCAAAATTAAAGGTAGTATCGTGCATTGTAATACTGTGCTCACCTCACAACCTGGAGCAAGTATTGTCTGTGATATATATTAACACATTCTAGGGGGGAGAATATGAGAATATTACTTCACACTATAATGATTTGTATTGTGCTTTTACATACTCTCAACGCTTCTTTAATATTTAGGTTAGAATGGCATGCAGAACAAGCAGCTCTGTTGTCTTATTGAAGATGCTGCATTTGATACAACACCCAGCCAGTTATACCAGAATTCACCAGTGGTGCACCATCAGCCAGTCTAGCAGTCTGTTCTACCAGCTTGCCTACCTGGTCCGAGGGGCTTCAGTTGTCAAGTATTACATCGGCGTCCGTTGGCTCGTCGGTAGACGACTTCGTTGCCGGTCGGCACAGCATTTGGGACAGTTTCCTGTGATCGCATTAGCGCAGCGGCTACTTGCTGGCGAGCAGTGAAAGCCATTTTATATGATGCACATAATGTGACACAGTCGTCTCTTTTGCTGACTATGCTTCCTCAATTTACCAACCCAGGCTCTGCATGAATTTTGTGTCAAGGGTGGCGGGTGATTGTTGACAGACGAGGAGAAAGATGGTCGTGTCGTTAATAGTGGAGTTAGTGAAGAAGATGTGTTGCTTGTTGCATGCCTCTCACGTGCCTTAGGTGCTTGAATAATAAAGTGTCTGAAACAACTGTTCTCTTCCTTTAAATCTTCTTCTTTAATATTGTACTTTGACAATGACACAAATAAAAAAATTAATCACATTGTTAACTTC